CTTCTTCTTTTTCTTCTCTATCCTGCTAGGTGAATTACATATCTCCTGTCTAAAACCTTGCTCTGCCTCGACTATAAATTACTGCCCTGTTCAACCTGTTTCTCTGTCGCACTCTGTGAACAGACAACCTGCTGCTGTCTGTGTGAAACCGTTAAAAAGTCAGACAAAACATCACTCCAAGCCTCGAAAACCTGGCAGCGAAACGGCCCGTCACTATATGACCAGTTTCTTATCTCAGCCATTCGCCAGTGAGCCTGCATACTTTGCCCTCAAACCGCCGGCGACCACCGCACAGCTGAAGCCGTCGTATGAACAGATACAACCGTTGATTACAGTGCAAAACATAATGTAAATATCAGTGTAGATAGAGGCCAGGCTCGGGTCAGCCATTTATGTTCCCCCGGTGCAAAAAAACAATGGCTGAGATACCTTATCAGATCACGTGATGACGTGAAGAGGAAAGAAGACAATACAGTATCAAGAGAAACTCATTTACAGCACAGGCACCGTTGTGTATGATTGTGGTCGTGTAGGCAAGACCTGCATACTCGCTGCTGGAGATGTCCGTGTCGGATCTGTACATGATTGAATTGGATAATATGTGCTATGTGAATTTGTATGGGCCTGGAGTGTTTCATTCACTTGTTATATATTATTTATATACATATACATTATCTGTTAGTATCACTACTTGTCTGTCTGTCTTGTTAGCTAGTGTTATATTTCCATTACTGTATGTGTATACTTCTGTCTCCCTATATTTATGTATGTCTGCATGTCTACACATCAGTCCAAAATCCAACTGACCCAGCAATTGAGCTATCTATCTTTCTGTCTGTCTGCTGTCTAACAGTAGTCGTATAAATACGTCTTTACTAACTGTTCTCTATTAACTTGATCAGATATGACTGAGCTACCGTATAACAGTAGTCTTGATTACCTGTTCTATTTTACTTGGTCAGATATGACCTGAGCCATTGTATAACAATAGTAGGTACTGCCTGTTCTCTGTTAAGGGAGAATATTTGGCAGCCTGTACCAAAACAGACATCCCTCATAGTACCAGCTTGTGGTCAGAAAAGCGAATAGATACTAGACTTATCCTCTTTTGTTTGTATATGTTGTTCCTATTTATGTTCTGTACAGGTAGTATACCTTGTTAGAGCGACGTAGCGATTTCTTTCTAGCGTGACAATATGTCCCATTTTGCTTCTTCTTTTTAGTGGGGACCCGAATGCAGGATGGGGAGTTCCGAACCAAGGACAAACACAACTGAATGTGGTCACGACTATTTTCCCCGTGCACACCACCCAGAGTGGACCCTTCACACACAGCACACCTGGTTATGCCAACACCACAATGTCTGGAGCCTCAGGACATTCACAGCCACCCCAAGGGCCCTATTCTGGCATGGGCAAGTCTGGCTATAACCCTCAAGTTATGACACCATACAAGTAAGTCTGAGCCCTAGGTTAGCTTTGGTGTTCTAAGGTAGATTGTGTGTCCTAAAGTAGCATTTGTGTCTTAAGGCAGCCTTTGTGTCCTAAGGTAGCTTTTGTCTCCTAAAGTAGCTTTTGTGTCCTGGTGTAGCTTTTATGTCCTAAGGTAGCTTTTGTATCCTAAGGTAGCTTTTGTATCCTAAGGTAGCTTTTGTGTCCTAATGTAGCTTTTATGTCCTAAGTCAGCTGCTGTGCTCTAAGGCTCCTACGTTTCCTAAGGTAGCATTTGTGTCCTAAGTTAGAATGTGTGTCCCATGGTAGCTTTTGTGTCCTCAGGTATCTGATATGCTCTGAGATAGCTTTTGTGTCCTCAGGTATCTGAAATGCTCTGAGGTAGCTTTTGTGTCCTCAGGTATCTGATATGCTCTGAGGTAGCTTTTGTGTCCTCAGGTATCTGATATGCTCTGAGGTAGCTTTTGTGTCCTCAGGTATCTGATATGCTCTGAGGTAGCTTTTGTGTCCTCAGGTATCTGATATGCTCTGAGGTAGCTTTTGTGTCCTCAGTATCTGATATGCTCTGAGGTAGCTTTTGTGTCCTCAGGTATCTGATATGCTCTGGAGGTAGCTTTTGTGTCCTCAGGTATCTGATATGCTCTGAGGTAGCTTTTGTGTCCTCAGGTATCTGATATGATGAGGTAGCTTTTGTGTCCTCAGGTATCTGATATGCTCTCGAGGTAGTGTGTGTCCTCAGGTATCTGATATGCTCTGAGGTAGCTTTTGTGTCCTCAGGTATCTGATATGCTCTGATGTAGCTTTTGTGTCCTCAGGTATCTGATATGCTCTGAGGTAGCTTTTGTGTCCTCAGGTATCTGATATGCTCTGAGGTAGCTTTTGTGTCCTCAGGTATCTGATATGCTCTGAGGTAGCTTTTGTGTCCTCAGGTATCTGATATGCCTCTGAGGTAGCTTTTTGTGTCCTCAGGTATCTGATATGCTCTGAGGTAGCTTTTTGTGTCCTCAGGTAATCTGATATGCTCTGAGGTAGCTTTTGTGTCCTCAGGTATCTGATATGCTCTGAGGTAGCTTTTGTGTCCCTCAGGTATCTGATATGCTCTGAGGTAGCTTTTGTGTCCTCAGGTATCTGATATGCTCTGAGGTAGCTTTTTGTGTCCTCAGGTATCTGGATTTGCTCTGAGGTAGTCTTTTGTGTCCTCAGGTATCAGATATGCTCTGAGGTAGCTTTTGTGTCCTCAGGTTATCTGATATGCTCTGAGGTAGCTTTTGTGTCCTCAGGTATCTGATATGCTTTTGGAGGTAGCTTTTGTGTCCCTCAGGTATCTGATATGCTCTGAGGTAGCTTTTGTGTCCTCAGGTATCTGATATGCTCTGAGGTAGCTTTTGTGTCCTCAGGTATCTGATATGCTCTGAGGTAGCTTTTGTGTCCTCAAGTATCTGATATGCTCTGAGGTAGCTTTTGTGTCCTCAGGTATCTGATATGCTCTGAGGTAGCTTTTGTGTCCTCAGGTATCTGATATGCTCTGAGGTAGCTTTTGTGTCCTCAGGTATCTGATATGCTCTGAGGTAGCTTTTGTGTCCTCAGGTATCTGATATGCTCTGAGGTAGCTTTTGTGTCCTCAGGTATCTGATATGCTCTGAGGTAGCTTTTGTGTCCTCAGGTATCTGATATGCTCTGAGGTAGCTTTTTGTGTCCTCAGGTATCTGATATGCTCTGAGGTAGCTTTTGTGTCCTCAGGTATCTGATATGCTCTGAGGTAGCTTTGTGTCCCTCAGGTATCTGATATGCTCTGAGGTAGCTTTTGTGTCCTCAGGTATCTGATATGCTCTGAGGTAGCTTTTGTGTCCTCAGGTATCTGATATGCTCTGAGGTAGCTTTTGTGTCCTCAGGTATCTGATATGCTCTGAGGTAGCTTTTGTGTCCTCAGGTATCTGATATGCTCTGAGGTAGCTTTTGTAGCATAGGGTGCTAGACTCATATTTGTAGACACCAATCAGCCCTTGATGAGTGATGTGGTCAGCACCATGCTGGCTGCCTTTATTTCCCAGGACTTTACCTTGTACCCATTTTATCCTTCTCAACCAGGGTAGTTTTTGAAGAAAGTAAACCAGACTCAGTGCAGATTTGAACCCATGGCCCTCTGGCTAGAAGGCAGTGCATCTAGGCACTACACCACTATGGCTCCAGTTGTGTAGCTGTTGTAGTCTGAGGTAAACGTTTTGACACACGGTATGTCATAAAAGGAACTTAAAGGAGCTTGTTGAAATCATATGTGTTGGGCTAAGTGTTGCAGATATCACACTCTAGCTGTAAACTACAACAAGCCAACCACTCTTTAAGAGCAAACCCTGAAAAAGTCCTAAAATAGCTGCTGTGTCCTAAGATAACTGCTGAGTTCTAAGGCGGTATGATTTTTTTTTTAAAGTAACTGCCTGTCTTTATGTGGCTGTCCACATGTAAAGTCATGCATTCTATTAACTGTTTTCCACCCCTTTTTCTTTGCAGTTCATTAGCTGTAAACTCCAGCTGAAAGTTCTAGTTGTTAGCCCACTCCTGAATTTGAGTTTTCCCTGTCACAGATATGACTGACTGTTGGGTCCTCTCAGGCAGTTGCACTCCAGCTTCAATGGAGCCCTGGAACCCACACAGGGTTTGATAAATTCTGTAATCTTTTTTACCCATAAGAACAGAGACATGGTTTTCACCATCACACACAATTTCCAGTATCATTGATCAAGTCAGTGCACTACTGTCTCTCCCCGCCCCTTCAAGCACTTTGGGTAAATGATTCAGGTATTTATCTCTTTATCTTCCTCTTGCTCTTTTTTTCCATGAAGCTTGTCAGTTGTCACCAAGTTTGTGTGAATTTAATCCTCATGACATGTCCAAACATATTGACTCTCTGATTCCTCTAATTTTTTATCATTACATGATGTTGCTTGCATTCTTCTCAGAAACATAACTTTTGCTGCCAGTAAGTGTTTATTGGGGGGGGGGGGGGGGGGGGGGGGTGTCTAACTTTAAGACACTTTATCTCACTGCAGCTGTCATTTTCTTATTGGTATTTTATTATGGTTAGGTTTAAAAAAAAGATCATCATGGCACAAGGGTAGTAACCCATAAGTTCTTTGTTCTACTCCTAACTCAAGCGCCTAAGTCAAAAAAATCTCAGCACAGTCCACGAACTCCGTAGCACCAGCGAGGATCCTGAACTACTTTGGGTAGAATTTTAAACTCGAGATTTTGTCTGGGAGGCGCCATTAGGCTACTTTTTTCAATTTCCAACTGCTAAGGGATTTTTTTTAATGTGCGCACAGTACACACAAGTGATTCTGATCTTACTACCCGGAGACCAGGGAAAATTACTAGAAGTTCACATGAGAAAAATTCCAGTGTTTACCGGGGCTTGAACTTGGGACCTTTAGCACAAGGCAGATGTTATGCCTCAAGACCTTAATTTTCCCAATCTCTGAGCCTATATTTGTGGACAAGCAATGCAGTGTCTAATTTAGTTGTATACTTACAACTGTTCCTATCATTTCACAGTGGCTACCCACCCACCCCGAATACCCCGGGATCCAGCCAGCCTCCCATGCCCGGCAATGGCCCCAGTGACTACACAGCTCCTCCAGGAGCACTGTCAGCAGCTGCTTACGTTGCAGCAGCAGCCACAGCGACTGCGACCGCTACAGCAACTGCCAGCATGGTGGCCATCCAGGAGCAGCAGAACCAGCAGCAGATGAACATCAACATGCAGATGAACATGAACAATCAATATGCACCTGGCATGCAGGTAAACAGAGTGTGTGCCTGTCCACAGGTGTTGGTGATAGAGATGGGGTGATCCTGTGTGCAGCAGATGTGCCCAGTATAGACTTTGTTTGCAATTTCCACCTCGTTATTCTCTCTCTGTCTCTCTCTTACTGTCTCTTTCTGTATGTTTGTGTGTGTGCATGTATGTGCGTATGAGAGAGTGAGAGAACAATTGAGATTCAATATCATTTCTTATATATATCTATTCTTATATATCTGTTTCTTCTTATCCATCTATTCCTATATGTATGTTCTTATATATATTCTTATATATCTATCTGTTCTTGTATATCTATTCTTATATATCTGTCTATTTTTATATATCTGTTCTTGTATATCTGTTCTCATATATCCCTTACTATATATCTATCTATTCTTATATTTCTGTTCTTATATATCTTTTTTTATCTGTCTATTCTTATATATCAATTGTTATATATCTTTTCTTATATATCCAGTCTTTTATATCTACCTGTTTTTATGTCTATTCTTATATATCTGTATTTTCTATATATCCATTGTTATATATCTGTTCTCCTATATCTTTTCCTATATGTCTATTCTTGTATATCCATTCTTATATATCTATAATTTTTTAAAATCTTTTCTTAAATATCCATTTGTTGTTATATATATCTGATCTATTCTTATATATCTATCTGTTCTTATTTATAATTATTCTGAAATATAAGTCTGTTCCTATTTATCTATTCTTATATTTTCTGTTGTATATTTATTCTTATATATCAATCTATTCTTATCTATCTGTTCTTATAAATCTGTTCTTACATATCTATTTTTATATATCTGTTCTTGTATATCTGTTCTTTAATATCTTTTCTTTTATATCTGTTCTCATATATCTATCTGTTCTTATTATATAATCTAGAAATAACTACACACATGTGGCAAGTCATCTGCAGATAACAACATATACTGACATAATTTATAAATAACATATACATGGTGTATAATCTACAAATAGCACACATTGCCTGTAATCTACAAATAGCACACACATGGCATATCATGTAGAAATAACAAACATGGTGTATAATCTACAAATAGCACACATTGCCTGTAATCTACAAATAGCACACACATGGCATATCATGTAGAAATAACATACATGCGATTTATGATCTACAACATACTTGTGCGATATTATCTACAAATAACAACATACACATGGCATATAATCTACAAATAGCAAGATACACATGGCATAAAATCTACAGATAACAGCATACACGTGTCATCTAATCTACCTCAGAGTTTAAAATTTTTATTTTTATTATAATTATAAATAACACTAGTGTTGTCTTCTAGCACTTTTGTTGTTCTTTCTTTGCATGTAGAATAATTGCAAGGTGTAAATACTTTTTAATTAACATTCTTAACAGTTGAACTAGTTAATTCTAGTATTCCTAGTCAATGGAAAATTGCTATACAGTGTAGAGAATAACCCTGCAACAATTATCACTTTTGTAACAATTAAAACATTAATTCAAAGATAGAGAACAAAATTAGTGTTCTATTCATAATTGTATAGAATGTTTACAAATTGTTTGTTCAATGGCAGTTGTAGTGGCTTCCCTTAGCTAACAAATAATGGGCCTGTAATATAATCAAATCTGTATTTTATGTAAATTAAAACTAATGCAGCTCTCCTGGAAGTGAAAATAACTACAGCTAGGTTAATGTCAAGAAAGTAAGTTTATTTCGTTGTCAAGGCAAAGATATTTTATTTAATGATGAATAAGTCAACTAGATTGTAAAGTCCAGTGTGTTAAAATCCTCTAGATTGTTAAGTCCACTCGATTGTTAAATCACTGGATTGTCATGTCCACTTTATTAAGTCCTTTGGTTTGTTGAGTCCACTAGATTAAGTCCACTCTGTTGAAATCTTCTAGATTGTTAAATCCTCTAGCTCAAGTCAACTCCATTCAATCTTCTAGATTGTAGAGTCAACTACGCTATCAAGTCCATTATCCATGGGCTAACTGTCTGTTCTGCTTTGCAGATAATGGGAATCGTGAGGAGTGGGCTGCATGGAACATTTCTGAGGGAAGATTTGAAATTATGGACAATTACCAATAACAGATAGTGTATTGTATGTATTTTAGTATGCATGCATTGGGGTCTTCATGGTTCTGAAGGTTGTTGTGCACTGGGTCCTCCTTTGTTGAATCTATCAAAGGAGACAAGGTCCCTCTGGCGGTATCTTTGCATGCAGTGAAGTGGTCAAGTACAAACTTCTGTGGTTTGCCAACCCTTACCCATTAATTCTTGTGTCTGGTGTAGTCTTTTCTAAGTATGGGTCTATCACATCTCTTATGTTTTTTAACTGAAAGAACTAACATTTTTTATTGTTGGATGTTCCTGGTGCAGGCAATGTGTTTAAGTAAACAAAGATGTGAAATTTATTTGTAGATGCCACCTGGTCAGCATCAGTATGGTGGACAGTACCCCCCATCGATGATGAGTCAGAGGCACCCCATGCCCATGGTGGGTGGGTCATGCCCAGGGCCGGGGCCGATGAAGTCCACCATGCAGTCAATGTATAGCAGACGGCAGACTCCATATCACAACCCTTATGCACAGAAACGGCAGCCAATGTATCCAAATGGAACACAGATGGATGTAAGTACTCATATGTTGGATATTGCTTTTGCAAAGGGTAGGTAGGTAGGTAGGTAGGTAAGTTGTTCTCCACCAAGACATCACACAAGCGATAAACACCCAGTGACACAAAGTGCCACCATGCTGATGAGGATCACCCGAGGAAAGGTCACGGAAACCATGTACAGCCGTTGGGCCATATCTAAGGCCTGGCTATATTTAAGGCCCCTAGCAAAATTAAATTAACTAAAAATTGCATTCCACATGGGGACGAATGCAGTAATTTTTTGCAAAGGAAGTTGTGTGTGTGTGTAGCATTTTGTTTGAGCTGACAGGAAGTGTGCATATATTAGTTTGTACAGCCACCTGATGGCACACACCTTTGAGCACAAATTTGACAGGATGCCAGGAGAAAATTTATCACAAAAGTAATGTAATTTAAACAATTCACAACTTCTGCACTTCTGCTACGGTAAACTTACAATTTCTGTGCTTTTACGTACATTCAACTTACAATTACTACACTTTATATATTTATATAAAGTCAGCTTATAAGTACTACAGTAATTACCACATTATGCATAAAATTAACTTACAGTTATTACACTTTACATAAAGTCAACTTATAATTACTACAGCTCTGTATGAAAATCAACTTACAATTACTACAGTAGTTTCTACAGTTCCACATAAAGTCAGCTTACAGTTACAGCACTTCTGCATTAATTAATTATACTTAATAATCACTAGACTTCTAGAAAAAAATATTATTATTACAATTCTGCCAACACGTGGACAAATAAGCAGTCTACCTCCCTTATATTAAAAGTGTCTGGAACATCCTAATGAAAATATGGCCCTAGCACAGACATAAACAAGCTAATGAAAATGTCAGCATTTATAAGTTGGTTGACACAGTTGCATATGGCGGGAAGAATATTTCTCAACTATTTGATGGCTGAACAAGCACCTCAACAGAAGCAAATCGTAACCTACCCCTCATAACCTACCCCTCATAACCTACCCATCATAACCTACCACTCATAACCTACCCCTCCTCCCTGAGCCCCATTTGGGGAAGTGATGGTGGGAGAATAAAACCAGTGCCCCCTAACAAGCATGTAATAAGAGTGGACTAATTAAGGATGTTGCCTTCAAAGTCGGAGAACCAACGAGGCGAGGAACCAACAGTCTGCATACAAATAAGACAATTCTGTCAAATGAATTGTGCACACACAACTCAATTTCTGGAATTAAGACTAAAGTCCAGAAATGGATAAACAACCAGGACTTTCCGCAAGAGTTTACAGTTGGTGAACACAAAGAAGAAGATAAGTTGGTTGGCCCAGAGTTGCATGTTGCAGAAAGAATATTGAATCCATCTAATCACAGAAGATGCATGCACATCAGCAGCAGCAAGTCAGAAACTATGCTTTACACCATCCATCATATCTTGTAGTTGTTAAACTATGCTTTACACCATCATATTTTGTAGTTGTTAAACTATGCTTTACACCATCCATCATATCTTGTAGTTGTTAAACTATGCTTTACACCATCCATCATATCTTGTAGTTGTTAAACTATGCTTTACACCATCATATCTTGTAGTTGTTAAACTATGCTTTACACCATCATATCTTGTAGTTGTTAAACTATGCTTTACACCATCCATCATATCTTGTAGTTGTTAAACTATGCTTTACACCATCCCATCATATCTTGTAGTTGTTAAAAACTATTCTTTACACCATCATATCTTGTAGTTGTTAAACTATGCTTTACACCATCCATCATATCTTGTAGTTGTTAAACTATTGCTTTACACCATCATATCTTGTAGTTTTGTTAAACTATGCTTTACACCATCATATCTTGTAGTTGTTAAACTATGCTTTACACCATCCATCATATCTTGTAGTTGTTAAACTATGCTTTACACCATCCATCATATCTTGTAGTTGTTAAACTATGCTTTACACCATCATATCTTGTAGTTGTTAAACTATGCTTTACACCATCCATCATATCTTGTAGTTGTTAAACTATGCTTTACACCATCATATCTTGTAGTTGTTAAACTATGCTTTACACCAACCATCATATCTTGTAGTTGTTAAACTATGCTTTACACCATCATATCTTGTAGTTGTTAAACTATGCTTTACACCATCATATCTTGTAGTTGTTAAACTATGCTTTACACCATCATATCTTGTAGTTGTTAAACTATGCTTTACACCAACCATCATATCTTGTAGTTGTTAGACTATGCTTTACACCAACCATCATATCTTGTAGTTGTTAGACTATGCTTTACACCAACCATCATATCTTGTAGTTATTAATCTTTGTCTTCTCTTTTATATCATTCATTCCTCAGTATAACATAGGTCATCAACCCTCTCTGACCAGTCTTTCTTAATATTTGTTATTTCTCATATTTATTCCATGTTTCCTGTTTTGTTCACAATTGTCTCTAATTGTCCTGTCTACTTTGTTCAGCATTTCTTTTTCCCCTCCATAGTTTCGAGTTAAAACATTCTAATCATGGTATACAGTTGTTTTTTTAAGGCATGTTTTTTTTAATTAAAGTTCAAGTGTCTTTACCTCACACCTCTTGTTTGATGAATTTGTGCAGTTCTCTACAGTGTTGCATTGGTGAATGTGTGTAGTTCTCTTCACCATTACATTAGTGAATATGTGAAGTTCTTTACGCTAGCTCCACATTGGTGAATGTGTGTAGTTCTCTACAGTGTTGCAATGGTGAATGTGTGTAGTCCTCTTCACCATTGCATTGGTGAATGTGTGTAGTCCTCTTCACCATTGCATTGGTGAATGTGTGTAGTCCTCTTCACTATTGCATTGGTGAATGTGTGTAGTCCTCTTCACCATTGCATTGGTGAATGTGTGTAGTCCTCTTCACTATTGCATTGGTGAATGTGTGTAGTCCTCTTCACCATTGCATTGGTGAATGTGTGTGGTCCTTTTCACCATTACATTAGTGAATATGTGTAGTTCTTTACGCTAGCTCCACATTGGTGAATTTGTGGTTCTCTACACCAGCTCCTCATTTATGAATTTGTGTAGTTCTTTACACCAGCTCCACACTGGTGAATTTGTGTAGTTTTTTACATCAGCTCCACTTTGGTGAATTCTTGTAGTTCTCTACAAAATTTCCAAATAGGTGAATCTGTAGCATTGTAAAGTGAAATTTCGAATCTTCTCTTATACTTTCTCTTTTAATATCCTGATCATTGTTTCTCACTTCTTTGAATAGTTTTTAATTTTATGAATTTAAACTTGGTACGAGATGAAATATGGATTGTTTTCTTTCACCGGATAGTTTGTCCCAACTGGCCCAGGACCACATGGGCATCCATATATGGGACCTCACCAGCAGTACCCAGGCAAGCCCAACTACCCACCCAGCCAGCAACCACTGCCATCACCCACTTATGGCATACCCCAGGCAATGGGTGGAATGCGACCTGGTGGGCCATCACCGTATCCTAATGGCCAGCACCCGTACATGACCCAAAATCAGTACGGACACCCACAGCGCCAGCTTGGACCTGCACCAACATACAGCCCATACCCAGCACAGACCGTAAGTTTATCTTAGTGCTATAGTTCACACACACATTTATATACATATATAGTCTTCTCTTCTGTCTCCTCCCTTTTATTTTGCTCTAAAATGTGCCGGAAGCCACAGTGGTGTAGCACCTAGATGCTTGCTTACAGATCTGAAGATTGTGGGTTCCGGTCCAAATGGGGCTGGACTTTTTTTTTTCATAAATGACCTTGGAACCCAGCTGGACCTATGCCTACTTAAATGGGTACCAGGTAAAGTCCTGGGAAGAAAGGTGGCCAGTGTGATGCTGATCACATCAGCTACCATGTGTCCGGAGTGCTGTGAAGATAATCTAACTCATAACCTACCAAATGCTGATTGAGCTATGAAATACAGGGCTAGCCCTGTGGCCATGCACTTGAAGGCATGGAAAAAAGTTAGTTTCTTTACAGTTTAAAATGTGCACTTGCAGACAGACTCACGCAGGAGAAGAATTAGTGAAAACCATATCACAATGAATCTAATTTATGTTCTTGATAAATGTCCGGTGTCCCTTATATCTGTCCTCTTTGTTCATGATATTTGTTATCTATGTTCTGCATATATCTTGTCAGTATTCTTTCTATCTGTATCTGTGTTTGTTTTGTCTGTTGTCTGTATTCTAGATGTCTGATATTTATATCCTTGATATTTGCTTTGATGTTCTAGATAACTGATCTTTAAATTCTTTAGGATATCTGTCATGTATTTCATGATATCTACCTTTGTATGTTCATAATATATGCCCTGTATATTCTTAATATGTTCCCTGAAAGCTCTAGATATCTGACCTTTGTGCTCTAGGTATCTGGCCTTTAGGTCTTTGATATCTACCATGTATATTCATATCTACCATATATTTATGTGATATATGTTCTATGTGTTCGTCATATGTGCCCTGTAAGTTTTGTATACCTGACCTTTATGTTACAGATATCTTGCCATTAGATATCTGCCATGTGTGTTCATGATATCAGCTGTGTATTTTCTTGATATCGGCCCTATGTGTTCTTGATATGTACCCTGAAAGTTTTGGACACCTGACCTTTATGTTTTAGATATCTTGATTTAGATTCTTGATATCGGCCATATGTCTTCTTGATATGTGCCCTGTAAGTTTTGGACACCTGATCTTTATGTTATAGATATCTTGATTTAGATTCTTGATATCGGCCCTATGTGTTCTTGATATGTTCCCTCTAAGCTCTAGATATCTGATCGTTATGTTCGTGATAACTGCTCTCTTTATTTTCACATTATCAAACCTCAATTTACTGTCTTTGTTAATAACCTGAACAATTAATGTACAATATCCCAGTACCTAATCCCTGTGTCCTTTTTTCCCCCTCTTGCAACAAACAGCACAACAGTTTTCCTCATTCGCCGATCCCTGGCAACCCCACCCCACCCATCACACCCGGGTCAGTCGCAGGCTATCCAGCTGACATGAAGCCTGCCTACCCACCAGATGTGAAACCCATGCTGAAGTCGAGTGAGTTTTTATAGTTTTCCTGTGGTTTTACAATTTCAGGTGTGTGGTTTTTTTTACACTTCTTATGTGTGGTTTTACACAATTTCAAGTGTGTGGTTTTACATTACACAATTCCCTATGTGTTAAGTGGGTGGTTTTACACAATGTCATTTGTGTGATATTATTGTTATTATCCGCTATAAACATGTATTGGTAGAATAATGTGTGTACTTTGTGATGCCAGAAGGTCAGAATGGGAGATAGGCCTGTATGCCTTGTTCTAAACCTATTGATTGCTCCGTTCAGACTGGAACATAATCTGGCAGTCAGCAACCATGTGTTCCAGCTCCGGGAAACAGTCTATAATACACTTATGTACAGGTGCGTGAATATCTTTACTCTCATCATTTCTCTTGGTCTGCCTCTGTCTCTTCTACCTGAGATCTTTTCAGTCATCACGATATTTTCCATTGCTCCTTTTCTCATCACATGATAAAAATACTGATGGTGTTGTAGATAAATCATTAGGATACCAGTATAATTGTCCTGATATGGTCTCCTTTCATGGACACTAAAGATTACTCATTTACTAAAAGTTGCTGAGGAGTGAACCTGACAATAAAAACCTTATAATGCCATTACCTATTATATGTGAATCCTATTTCTTGATGCCTGTGCTGCATTGTCTTCATCTTGAATATAGGATAGATCATGTTTCCTTGAACTTGTCTTTTTTTGTGTGAACATTTTGTGAATTCATGAAATCTATTTTGTGACACAGATCAGACCTAGAGCTGCAGCTGAAATGCTTTCATCATGAAGATCGTCAGATGAACACAAACTGGCCAGCATCAGTGACGGTCAGCGTCAATGCCACACCACTCAACATTGAGCGAGGGGACAACAAGTCAACACACAAACCGCTGTACCTCAAGGACGTCTGTCAAGCGGGCCGCAACACAATACAAATTACAGTGACAGCCTGTTGTTGTGTAAGTTTAAATTTTCCACTGGAATACTTGCCTTTTTGTCCCTCTTGTTTCCCAGTCTTAATAAGATTTTCTGGCTACAAAAGTGATAGCTACAGGAACACTCGTACTGGACAAAAGGAGACATTCTGAAGACCATTTGTGAACAAATGCTGTAGAAGACACAAGGTTAGATGAAATTACATTTGTAAGAATATGTGAACAAGGAATCGGATGTGGCTCCAGCAAGGATAGATGTTTAAGGAGAAGAGAATCTAGCCAAAAGTATCGTAAGAGTCGACTGTTTGGGAGCTTCCTTTAAAATTAGTTTGCATCTGCGTGAGAGGCAAAGAACCAACAGTCTGTAATTTGTTTTTTTAAGTATCCAGAAACCATGAGTTGTTAACCCTTTGGCTTAGTACTATGAATATCACATCACAACCCTCCGGCCTTGATTCCATGATAGATACCATAAATCTGAGAGGAATGTGGCTTTTCTGCCAACCCTCCCGGCGTGAACCTGGACCACAAGGAGTTCATCACTCGGTCGCCGACGAGTCCGGTTTAGCCAACTGCACTAGCACAAACAACTAGAACATTCTGCTTGAGTTTATAGCCAGTGAACTCATAGAAGAAGAGAAGGATTCCATCTATAATATGGAAACAATTGCACATGTAAAAAAAAGAGAAGTTAAAGAATAACTGCAAGCCCAGAGTAACATAAAATGGCACAACAGGATTATGATGATTGTTCCATTCCTGTTTTTAAGTTGTTTTTTTTTAAACAGATTCTATGTTTTTCATTGCTATTTTACCTCCTTGGGTATGGAAAACACATTTTTTTTAAAATATAAAAATTAAAGCCTATTTACATGTTTGATTTATTCTAAAATAAAATTTTTAGTTGATTGTAAAAAAAGTTACCTGGTTGTTTGGGATTCTCTGAAAGGCTATTTGTAACTAAAACTTGATTCTGTAATGTTGAGGTTATCTGAGCCCTAAAATGATTTTAGATTCAGGCTGGTAGAGGCTTCCCTCTGGTACCTAAAATACCACCTTCACGAGAACTGTGTTGCAAAACTATCATTCCCCTCTCCCAGGCTTGTAATATATTATTGATAAACATGAGGTTTTATTTTCATTAAGACATGCTGTGTATATTTTCAATAATTATCTTCCTTTGTCTCTCGTTTCAGTCTCATTTGTTTGTTCTGCAACTAGTCCATCGACCCAGCATTCGCTCCGTGTTGCAAGGTTTATTGCGGAAACGTCTGCTGCCCGCAGAACATTGTATCACAAAAAGTAAGTGTCACATTTGAGGAAATTCACTGTTCACATTGTCTCCAGTGTGACATATGCTATATCTTTGTAATAAAATCTCTCAAGCTATATAGCTTCGTGTATTGACGTATTTTCAGCTGATGTAGTAACAGTGTTACAAGTGCTAGCATATGTTGCCAGATCACATAATGGAAACAGCACACCCTCGGTTGAACAGCTGGTTTATAGGAGAATGTTTTTCACCATAGTTTTAATGGTATTCATGTAGAGGCAATGAGATGAGAAGAGGGAGGATGGAACATGTTGTGACCCTTGAAAGATTTGTGGAAAAAAAGGTAGAGGAAGACTGCACAAAAAGATTTTTGACTGCCTCCGTAGAGAAAGACTGCACAAACAGATTTTTGACTGCCTTCATAGAGAAAGACTGCACAAACAGATTTTTGACTGCCTTCATAGAGAAAGACTGAACAAACAGATTTTTGACTGCCTTCGTAGAGGAAGACTGAACAAACAGATTTTTGACTGCCTTCGTAGAGAAAGACAGATTACAAAGATTTTTGACTGCTTTTTCTTATGGCTTTGAGGGATGTCAGCAAAAAAGTTAATACATGATGTTTGAGATTGCAGGTCATGAAAAGGTTTGATCCCCTACTCCACTCAGCAGTGTGCTTGATGATGTTGAGGAGGATGTAGAAGTAATAGTGATGCTTGCATGGTCTTGTTAAGTTAAATAACTTGCGTCTTCTTTTCTCTGCAGTCAAAAGAAATTTTTCCAGTGTCCCTCCTAACAGTGCGGTTAATGCAGAAGATGGAGTAGAACAAACAGCAATAAAAGTCCCATTAAAGTGTCCGATTACGTGCCGGAGGATAACCTTGCCAGCAAGAGGCCATGACTGCAAACACATACAGGTAATCTACTTGTCATTGTTGCCCCTCAGCTTTTTTTTTTTGTTTTTCCTCAGATGCTGAAATCATGATTGTTTATTTGTAATTTTTTTATTCCGATTAGTTTCAAACTTTTATCTTTGAAGGACTGCTCCAATTGTTTTTAGTTTGCCCATGGTATGTTTTGCATTTCCTCAAACACAGTTACTCTGCCAAGAGATGTCTTTCAGTTTGTCTGCTTATTCTGCATATTTTTTATTCTGTTGTACTTCAGCACGATTTTTCCTTCATTGTAATAGACACTGTTGTATTGTTCAATATGCATCTCTATCTGTTGGGTCATGTTAATGTTAGTTTCAGCTTCATGGCAAACAGGTCACCCCATAGTTGCTCCGCTCCTGTGCCAACGAAAAACACACAGCATGTTTATCACAGTTCCTTGTGGAAAGATTGACAGACCTCTGTCTCAGCATATGCACTAGCATACACATGCATTAAAAGCATACGTTAGCCATCAGAAGTGCTAACACAAACAGTCCGACATTGGAAATGCAGTTCATCATCAACAGTAGAGGAGGTAACCAACATATCAGCAGTTGCACAAGTGATCAATTTTATTCACTAATATTGCGATGACAGGCCATGCAGCATTTTCTGAATCAACAGTTCACAACACCACTTTGGTCACAGTTGAAAAACATTCCAAATAATATCCCAGCTCACAGGGTCGAACCATGCACTCAGCTCAGTAGCTTGACGACAAAACTATTTTTTTTTTCAGTCTACAAATGGATTAAAAATGCAAAAGCCACCGTCTGGCAGAAGCAAAAACTTTGCCATGACTCAAAACAGTGACCGTGCCTATCGTCCATTTTGACTGGAAGTCTCGACCCAATATTAGGTCATCACTCATGGCACTAGGAGAAAGATAATGATTATTACATATTTACATATACTGACAGAAACAGATCATATCTAGTGTAGTCCTAAGTTAGTTTTAAATGATTAGTCAGTGAACAAATTAAACAACTTTATGCCATTTTTGAAAGGAAAAAAAAAAAAAAAATCAAAATTTATGAAATGTCCAATAATGTTTAGTGTTTTATAACAGTTAAAAATAATGTTAACATTTCTATATGTTTTCTTTGCAGTGCTTTGATCTGGAGTCATATTTACAATTAAACTGTGAGAAGGGCTTGTGGAAGTGCCCAGTGTGCAAGTAAGTTCTGCTCTTGTTGCAGTCAGAGATGTTCATGTCTGAGAGACTTTTAGTCTCAGATTGTTTTCCTAGGGATGTTGGATGTACTTAAGACTCGCTATAAATGGTTCAACATTTGTTGACTTTATACAACCAGCAAATATACATTAAGCTAACATTTGTTGACTTTATACAAACAGTGAATATACATTAATCTGACATTTGTTGACTTTATACAACCAGTAAGTATACAGTAATCTGACATTTTTTGATTTTATACAGCCAGCAAATATGCATTAGGCTGACATTTGTTGATTTTATCAACCAGTACATATACAGTAATCTGACATTTGTTGACTTTATACAACTAGCAAATATACAGTAATCTGACATTTGTTGACTTTATACAACTAGCAAATATACAGTAATCTAACATTTGTTGATTTTATACAGCCAGCAAATATGCATTAGGCTGACATTTGTTGATTTTATCAACCAGTAAATATACAGTAATCTGACATTTGTTGACTTTATACAGCCAGCAAATACACAGTGAGCTGACACTTGTTGTGTTTATACAGCCCTCAAATACACATTAGGCTGACATTTGTTGATTTTATATAACCAGCAAATATACAGTAATCTGACATTTGTTGACTTTATACAACCAGAAAGTATACAGTAATCTGACATTTGTTGACATTTTACAGCCAGTAAATATGCATTAAGCTGACATTTGTTATTTTATACAACTGATAAATATGCAGTAATCTGACATTTTTTTACTTTATACAACCAGAAAATATACAGTAATCTGACACTTGTTGACTTTATACAACCAGTAAAAATACTGTAATATTTGTTAACTTTAGACAACCATTAAATATACAGTAATCTGACATTTGTTGACTTTATACAGCCAGCAAATATGCATTAAGCTGACATTTGTTGATTTTCTACAGCCAATAAATATACAGTAATCTGACATTTGTTGACTATACAACCGATAAATATACAGTAATGTAACATTTGTTAGCTTTCAGTAACTAGTAAATATACAATAAAATCATGCTTGTTTACATACAGCCAGTAAGTGTGCAATCTGACATTAGTAGACTCATTGCAGCTATCATGTACAAAAAAAAGCTGACATTTGTCTATCATGTACAAACAGTGAAGACTTAGTGTGACATCCTATAACCTTTGACTTCTTTCCTGTGTCCAACAGTAAGTCAGCACTCTTAGAGGGTCTGGAAATTGACCAGTACATCTGGGGAATCCTCACAAACATGACCAACATGCAGTTTGAAGAAGTGACCATCAATCAGACAGCCAGTTGGAAACCTGTCCCAGTCAAATCCATGATCAAAGAAGAGGACAGTGGTCAGTTGAGAAGTTGTTGTTGTGTGAATACCACTGTATAGACTTTATATTTGTTTTTATTGGTTATTTTAAAATATTCATCACTGTGAAGGGTCATTTATATACCACTTGAATATATTGGAGGTTTGGTATCAAGCCTTTTCAGAAATACTTTGTGCATTTTAAACATGGCTGTGATTCGGAAAGAAAGGTAATGGAAGGTGTGGTTGCTTGAGGAAGATGTAGGGGTCAATCAGCACAACTGTGAAGTTACTTGATAAACACAAAGATCTCCTGCTTTTTAACCTTCCTGTAAGTGCGCTGGGTATTTCATTCACCTCCAAGAGTTCATCAGGAAATATGAAATCATTTGGCTGCCTCTGAAATGTTGTGAGAGTGATCTTCAACTGGGTTCAAACTCCATACTTTACCAGTTAGAAGCAGATGATAAATCTTTTTTAAAAATTGTATTGAAAGCTTTATTCAAAGCTGCTCATTAACAATGTTTATTTCATGTTATTTTATCTAAGTATCTAAAGCTGATATGATACAGCTTGCGAAATGAGATGCCTAACCATCTAAGAATAAGTGAATAATGATACTATCAGACAGATTGTTGGAACAACACCTTGTATTAGATTCATAGAGAAACAGAAAATCCAAGTGCTTTGGCCATCTCAACAGAATGCGGCAACATCAAATACGCGCAAGAGTAAGAGTATGGCCACGAAAAACTGGATCAACAGCATTAAAGACACTTTACGTCTTTACAGCATAATTGTCATTGCTGGCTAGCGTGCACTGGATCGTTAACATTTTCTCCCCACGACACTTAGCAGCAGAAATAGTTTATGATGATGATTTGACGAAATTTCTGTCACAGGTAACCCAGAATCTTGTCAGAGCAGCTGGATGAAAGCTATGTCACCTTCAAGTATGCAGCTGCCAACAATGATGTCCTGGGATGCTGGACCGCAGGCCTCGCCCTACAGCCTTCCTCCTCCTTCAACTCCAGGTGAGACCACAACATACTAGGATCTGCTTAATGCTTCTGAATCAACATGTGTGTCCATATCTTGTCTTTGGATCCTCTTGTTATTATTGAAGTCTTTTCTTGTCTCTAGATGTATGTCTAAACTCTTTGTTTATGTTGAGCTCCATATCTTGTCACTGGCATTATCATATTGCTGATGTTATCCTTCAATGTGCATTCACTCACACATCTTTAAGTTCAAATTGTAACACATAATCCTGTCTATCTCAGAAGCCTTGTTAAATTCTCATTCACAGCATTTAATTTATTCAGTGAGATTTCAGAGCTGTTTAACGCACCCTGAGTTGAATTGTTTCATATTTGATGCACATTAATTAGAGTGGATTGTTTGGTGCACACTGATTAGAACTGATTAATATTTGGTGCACACTAATTAGAACTGATGAATGTTTGGTGCACACTGATTAGAACAATTTTGTTTTTAAAATGTAGGTGATCCAATGAGTCAAGGCTTACGGCATCCTGATCCATCCAGACCCCCCAGCAACAACCACATGACACCACGCCCATCATCGCAACCTCATCCGCAACAAAATGGCAGCCTCAGCAACCTCTCACATCCCTCGCCCAACAGCAGCAACAGTATGCTCTCATCAAGCAATATCCCAACCACCTGCAGCAACACGGGTGGTCTTTCCTCTGGCAACATCAGTAGTTCCTTACCCTCAGATTGCCACTCATTAGGAGATCTGACTTTTGACCCTACAGCCATCATTAATGGAGACAGTAGCGCTGCTGATGGCCTTGCGGTAAGTAGATGTTTAAAAAGTGTATTTATTGATGCAGTTTGACCCTAGTGTGTCAGGTTTAGGAGCTCTTAGCTGTGGCTGACTAATAAGATAAAGTACAATGTCATTAATTTATCTTGTACCGCAATTGTAAATGAAGCAGCTCTAAAAACCTGCTACCCTAAATAATGAGCCTAAATAAACTAATGACTCCAGTATCTAAGGAATGTCATAATTATCTTGGATGCTATATGAAAATAATGACTAGATGAACCATTTTATGCAACAAGCAGTATTTTACTCTGTCATGATAACTCTATATTGCACATTGACAGACAAGCACATAGTGGATACAACTATCAGTAATAGTTCAGATACTAATTAATATTAATAATAACATGTTATAAATAAGAAATCAGAGGTGTAATAGCCTTGTTTTGATGTATAAACAGTTAGCCATGTTTTTGTTTCCATTTACGAAAGAAGACATTATCTTTATGTTTTGTTTTCTAGGTTTATGAAATTATTAACAATTTTTTATCTTTGGTATTGCAGTTGCTAGCAGACAACCTCAGTGATATGGAGTTACTGACAGCATATCTTGGGCCCTCGGATCCCACAGGGGACAATGGACATAATTCTTCTAGCACGGGAGATGACTTATTGGCACTGTTTGAAAATTAGGACGTGTCATGAACATCTTATCCCTGTTAAAGAAAGTGATTACCCAAAAGAACAGTTGCAGCCTCATGTCAGGATCAGCAGTTTCAGAGATAGATTTGTAATCTCCATGTTGCTTCCAGAACATCCTGGAAGGAGAATCTCACCTGCTTTGATTTAATGAATGTCCTGCTTTGGCCAGATTTCGTCAAGTCTGTCTGCTGAATCAAAGAGCAGATAAATTGTGACTTCATTTGGAAAGCGTACAGATTTGGGACATGAATACTTCGAATATGCATATCATTTCTGAAGGAACCTCTTACAGCTCCTGAATGTTTCCTCAGTGTTACATAAAAAACAAAAACGCAAGACACAGTTAAACAGTGTACAAATGCTGTATGGAGAGGGATTGTTTATACATGTCTCACCCATACAAACTTCCTGACAACATTTCTCAATATCCAGAATCTTTGACAAAAAGTGCTTCATCAGTGTAAAAATTTGAATACTGAAACATATGTGTTACGTATTATTTGTTCGAACAGTCAGTTAATAATATGTTTGCCACAGAACTGGAAGATAGAACTTTCCAGACTTCAATTTTTTAAAGATTTGTGCAAAGGATTATTAGCAATTCCATACCATGATGTGCCATTAGGTGCAAGCGGCATATTGTAGTTTCATTTCCCAATAATATTTATGACACTGTTGTGATTGTGGCAATTCGTTTTACAGTAATCAAATAATTTTGGTCTCATGTTAAGGTTTTGCATTATGGTTAATTAAAGTGTGGATTTACTGCGGATCGTAGTTGCCAAAAGATCAAAAGCTGTGCATCACCTGCTGTATCTGTCGTCCAGTGTGTCACACACACACACACACACCTGTAAACAGTTAGCCATAGCAGCTGAGACAGATTTATGCAGGTCATGGTGAATCAACAGTCTGCTGCCACATTAGAATTTATTTGAAAAAATAAAACAGGTTCTGGCAAATTGTTGAGCTCATATTTGACACACAAGACCGAGCTCTTTCACTTGTCTTGTTGTGATTGGTGAAATCGATATGGGCCACTAATGGGGGAAAGTCAACATGTCAGCTGTTGTATTAAGACAAGTAAACAAGTCTTGTTTTATGTGCATTAAACCTCGTTGTTGACTTCATGAAACTACTTTCTTTTGACCTACAAATTCGCAAGACTGTACAATTGAAAGCTGTCTTGAGGATTTGGTTGTTTGAATTGAAGACTTCATCATGTTGTGAAATGGAACCAGTCAAATCACTTTTATCATTGAGACCTATTATCACTGATCGCTGTGGAGTAGCTAGCTAATCCACGCTTGTATCAAAGTAATTGTACGTTAGCATGGATATAATGATATTTTGATAGCAGAAATTTCACAAATTCGTATTCACAATAATTCATGCATGGACTATGAGAGATGGCAGTGCTTTCATGGCACTACACTGGTTCATCTTGAGCTCTTTCAAACTGGCAGTGATCATTTCCTGAGTGCAAGCAAAAAGTTCCTGAGGTGTTTTTGGGTGGGGGGGGGGGGGGGGGGGGGGAAGGAGGGATGAATTTGCCAGTCTGGAAGTGGACATTGTCTGCTTGTTTGAGTTGTTTTGCTGTAATTATTTTGTTATAAAACGTTATCTTTTGATAAAAGATAACGATATTGTGAAATAGTGAGTTATAGTCTCCAGTTATTTTTGACATTTTATAGTGTTAGAGCTGTTTTAAAAGATCAGTTAGATTTTGTTGGACAACAAATTACAGCTTAATAATTGAACAGTCTGGAGCCATATAGTTTAAACATGAATAGTTCCTATCTTGAACAGCTTGCTAACATTGTAAACATCTAAAATGATCTCCTATGTATGTAAATTGCTACATGCTTCATCACCATGTAGGTTGATCTAAATACTGATGGAAGGCCCTCTGTTTGGGTCATTCCACTATTTCAGTAATTTTCTTTGATTTTGGTGAAAGCTCACTAACATGGCACACAATCTCTATAAGTGCTCAGTCTTCTCTCATAGGTCACCAGGGAGAATCTCTAAACAGTGCACTAACTTCATATCACCTGTGAAGATCAAAATGTGTATTTTAATACTGAGTTGTATTTGGGTTTTGTAATTTTAAAATTCATTTTGGCCAGCAGCTTTTTCTGCCTCCCCCCTCCCCAGATATCCTATTGCACAGAGATGTTTGATTTAATATTAACATGGCTCCTGCAAGATGTCTGCCATTGTTTTAAAATGATATATATATATTCAAAAATAGTTTTATATGCATCAGTTAGCAATATTGTCAGTATCCACCTTTACTGTCCAGAACAATTCCCGAAGCTCATTGCATGCTGGGAATGCCTGGTAGACAAGGTCAGTTTGAAAAAATCTCTGCCTCAGTTGAGACTTATATAAACAATTGTCAGATTGATTTGCGGTTTACAGTTGGGCTGCGATATCTGTACCTTTAAGCCCAACACATCTGATTTCAGCAAAGTCATAATTAGTCGCCTTTTATGACATACTTGTTACAGAGCAGTAGGTCCTATTCTTTTCCTCCCAAAATG